GATATAGACCATTACAAAGACCATCAGCTCAGGGAAAGTGGAGTATCATATCACTGTTAGAAGGGAAATGATTTGAAGGAGCAGCTCTGGGGCATGTCTGGCTCTGTCATTACTTTAGCCGTGGTCGTGTTTGGCTGTGTCACTGTTTTGGCCATGCTAGGCTCTTGAGCACAAAGTTAAATTTGGGGGTTTTGGAACAGACCTGGCAGTTAGTAAAGGTACTTTGTTTTAGCCAAAATAACCACAGGACTAACACAGATTCAGGAATTAGGGATCTCATTGCCATTTCTCGATGGGAGTTGTCGCATGGGCCTTCATTCGTCTGGCACCGGCTATAATGGAAAGGAGTTATGCTCCAAAAGAGCATTTTGAAATTTGAGATTTCAGAGGTGAAATGTTTCTACCACACAGATCAAATAGAGAGTGATAATGACCATGATTATTGCAAATGTATAGAAAATTATGATGTTGGGCTTAGCATTTGTAGACCCAATGAGGATTTTAGCTTGGCTGTGAGTGTGGAAGAACAGCCCAAAATCCAAAGGATGACAAATACAATGGCAGACTAAATATGTGATAGCTAAACTTATGGAGTGATCCTGTAGACCAGGAAAGTTAGGATCCTGCTTTTTCACGTCAGCTTGGTGACTGTGGTCATCAAAGCCCCCCAGTAGCACCATTTCACCAAAACCTTTGCTTTTCAAACTCAGAATTGTCTTGTTCACTTAGCAGTTTTCAATAAATGTCCCACCTCTGGCTTCTGAATAGTGTGCAGATAGATTCTTCACATAGCACTTTAACTGTAAGCATCCATGTCCTAGGAATCCCTTGGAAGGATGAAATAAAGGTCAACTCAGTTTTAAAAAGGGAGATGACAGAAGTTGCCACAATAACAGATTACCAGTATCTACTCTGAGCTTTTTTTTAAAGCCTTCTTGTCTTAGGTGTGGATCTATAAACAAATGAATATTTGTATGAATGAGCAAGATTTATGGTAGCAATCTTTATTAGCAGTGTTAAATGAACAATATTTATTGCTGTCATTTTAAGTAAATAAAAATCAGAAACCAGATAGTCATTATTCAGACGACCCTAAGAGCTCCCTCAACCATAAGAATGCTAGATAGGAATAAATTAGAGCCCATTGCAAGGCGAGAAGGAGACTACATATTGTTATAATGACTGTATCAATTTAATGTTTATTTGTTTATGTGTAACAGATGAACAACTAATTTACAGCAGTGCAAGAGTGGTGTGAGTTTACAACCTTGGCTGTGACTTTACATTTTTAAAATGCTTTCTTAGAGTACCACACCCAAAAAAAAAAAATTCTACTACCAAATAAAAGATGTGTAACATTTGGAGCTTCAACAAACCTCCCTGGGAATCCCATACCCACAGCAAGTGATTTGGGCTGCAAATGTTTGGTTCCACCGCACGTTTTTTCTCCCCTGATACGTTATCCCCTGAGCACCCTTAGCAGTTGCTTTGGTCTTGAGTAGACTGGCAGGGATTAGAGCATTCACGGATGTTATTCTCACCTTTGACACAGAAATTCTTTTAAGGGTGTGTATGAAGCGTGTCTAAAAATAAGTGAAGTAGTGATAGTTTTGTATAATTATAACCTTCCTATAAAACCAGGCCTCTCTCCCTCTCAAAGTAACATTCAGTTAAAAAACACACAGCTATCCCAGAAGTGCTGTCAGGGTTCAGATCCTCTGAGGAAGTCCTCGGGTGGGGCCTTTATCAGAGCCAGTTCCTTGCAAGCCAAAAAGAAAAACATTTTTTATGTTTTTAGCATATATCTCAGTTTTGACCATTGTTTAAGCATTCTTCCAAATTTTAGGACTGACTATGTTTATCTTGAAAGCATGAAAATCACCTTCAGAAGAGTAAGAGTTTATCCACCTAGGATAACCAGAATAATGTCCATTGGATGTCAGCGTTGTGAGGCTCCGAAGGAACTTGCTACCCACATGATAGTATCATCAGAAAAATATCAAATCGTGGTACACAATGTTACCACTTTAAATCCTGGAATCTAGAAAGGCACCATAAAAATATTTTAACCTACTTTTTTTTGTTGTTGTTAGCTTCTCCCCTGCCCCCAATTTTTTAGCTTTTTTTGCTTAAGGTCAGCTTAACCTCCATCTTCCTCCTCACCTTGTGTTTAGGTTCTTCATAATGAGTTATCCTTCATAATGTGATAAACTCTATTCAGTTCATTTTATAATGTGTTATCCTTTTAGTTATGTATTAGTTGTAGATTCTTATCACCATTAGGTTTGTAAGTTTATATCTAATTATCACCTTCCATATCAATCATTTTGTTATCTGATGATATTCATCTTAGCATCCGTGATTATAACTTTTTAAATGATCATGGCTTGTGGCAGGGATTTAGAAAATTCAGTTCATAAGGGCCAGAGGCAATGGCTTGATTGGTTAATCCTCCACCTGCAAACAGTGGCATCCCATATGGGTGCCAGTTCATGTCCCAGCTGCTCTGCTTTCCATCCAGCTCTCTGTTTATGGCCTGGCACAGCAGCAAAGGATGACTGAAACTCTTGGGATCCAGTGGGAAACCCACATGGGAGACCAGAAGAAGCTCCCAACTCCTGGCTTCAGATCACCTCAGCTCTGGCTATTGTGGCTATTTGGGGAGTGAACCAGCAGATGGAAGATCTTTGTCTCACCGTTTTTTCTATAGCTCTGCCTTTTCAATAAAAATAAGTAATTCTTTAAAAAATAATCAATTCACTAGCTGTTTTCAACCTTAGAATATGAGTATATTGTAAGTCTAGCAAAACAGAAGAGAGTCTGAGTACAGAGAAAGTCTATGTACAGTGAAATGACTTGACAGGAGGAGAACCCAGCTCCCATTCAGATCCATCTGAGACAGTTTCTCACCCTCAGCACTGTGATGTTTGGGACTGGCTTGTTCTTTCTTGTGGAGGATTGTCCTAGATATGGCAGGTACTTTAGCAGCAGCCTCTGAAATCTCTATTCAGTTAAAAAAAAAAAAAACAGATTCTAAACCCCCTTATTGTAACACCAGATTTACAGTTTTATCATCCGAGAAATAATAAACCCTAGAATTTTAAGGAGATTAATTTTCAGGAGTCACCATTCTGGCTGCTGATCAGAATTTGGGGTTTTTTTGAGGAGGGGATGTGGAGGATTTTTTGTGTTTTTTTTTTTTTAAGATTCTCTTTGTTTTTCTAAGATGTTGAGAATCACTATTGGTCAGGCAGAAGATAACTACCTGTCTATTTTAAGCCTCTCCACAGTATAAGAACCACAGATCAAATCCTAAACTAACCACACATCTGTTCGTTGAATCACTCCACTCACTCCTGCCAAATCTTTCCCCAGCCTGAGTTAACACCTCTTGATTTGGCATTAAAATCAACAATTCCATTTCCTTCTCAAGACAATTAGTTGTTCATTCAGATAGTCCAACCTGTGGAAAAATGTGCTAAATGTTTTTCTTCATATCCATCAATGTCTATAATCTCATATGATGCCTATTAACATTTTTCTCAACCCAGGTGAACTAAATGTTTACTGAATCAATTATCTTATACGTTACATGCTACTCTGAAAAATTTATTTATTACAGCTGTTAAAACCATTTGAGTCTTAAAAAAAAAAGATCATGTAACCAGTTTTCTCAGTTTAACAATAGACTTCCTCAAAAAGTATAATTATATTGACTGACCTTGTAGAACAGGGTAGGCTGTTGCCTGCAGTGCCTACATCTCATATAGGTACTGGTTTGATTCCCAACTGCTTCAGTTCTGATCCAGCTCCCTGCTCAATGTGCCTAGGAAACTAATGAAGGATGACCAAAATACTGGGCCCTTCCACCCCCATGTGGGAGACCTGGATGAAACACCTGGCTTGAGTCTGGCTGTCCTGGCTGTTAGGACTATTCGAGGAGTGAATCAGCAGACAGAAGAACAATAGAAAAAGTCTTGCTTTCTCTCTCTCTTTCTTTCTCCCCCTCTCCTTCTTTTTCTCCCTCTTTCTATCCCTCCATCCTCCTTTCTCTGTATTTAATTGTCTTTCAAAATAAACTCATCTTAACAAAATTATAATTGTAATATATGAAATACTACATGATCTGTCTCTTCTCATTTAGCTGTTACCACAGTTAAATAGCCCACTCCACAGTTTAGAGGGTTTCTGTGCCTAGGAAAGCCATACAGTGAGTTTCCCACTTGCTCCTGACCCCCACGCCTAGTAGCCCTCTTTAAATCTTCTTTGATGATTTCAGGAATACTCCGCAGTATCTGCTGTTTCTGAAAAGAACCCTTCCTTACCATGTACTCGAGATTTCATAAAGAAAGTACATATAGGAAGAGATTCTTTTTAACAGTCTTTATGATGAACCCTCTTGAGAATACTTTCTGTGAATTTGATTAATATGAATGAATCAATGCTAGTTTGATTAACGTATCAAAATTCAGACTTCTGCTTACTCTGCTTTGAAGTCAGTCTTTTAACCTGTACTTCTGATTCTGCTCTAAGTAGCTTAATAGCTTTGACCCAATGGACAACTGCTACCCAACATGATTAGCAGATATTAGAAGACTGTGAGGGTGGCATTGATTTTGACAGGCAGTTTATGCCTCAGTATCAGAGGCTGACCCCACAAGTAGCCAGTCCACATGAGTAGCTAGTGAGCTATAAATGTGTGCCAGCTGTCCTGGCAGTGTCTGGATGGACCTCCAATGGGAAGGTGGTGTTTAGAGAAAACCAAGGAGAAAATAACATGTTAACCAAAATAAACTGTGAGGGGTCAAAATAATGGTCTGCTGTTTTTGTGCTTATATGAGATATAAAAAGAAAAGTTGAGCTTCCGAACTGCTTGCCTGCACTTGGGCACATCCAAAGAGTTGATCGGAAAAAGGCAAAACTGCCTGAACCCCCACACATCTTTGATTATCTTGAAAAGTCTCAGTATCATTAATGTGGGGCTACATCTTTTCCCACAGATTGTCATAAATGGACACTGACATGGACTACGAAAGACCCAATGTTGAAACCATCAAGTGCGTGGTCGTGGGGGACAATGCAGTGGGGAAGACACGGTTGATCTGTGCCAGAGCGTGCAACACAACACTGACGCAGTATCAGCTGCTGGCCACCCATGTGCCAACCGTGTGGGCCATCGACCAGTACCGTGTCTGCCAGGAGGTAAGATGCGCAGAATGCCTTTAGAATCCATAGGACACATTGTGGCCATTTGTTGAATTTTTTAAAAAAATAGAAAAATGGTGAGTAAACTGCACATTCAAAACAATCTTTCAGTGCCACAAGTGAAAAAAACAAAAAGCAATTTGTGTGCTTGGGAATGTGGCTCTGGCATCCCAAATGAGGACTTGAATCATGGGGTTCCAGGAGAAAGAGTAGAGTTTAGCCTAAGTCCTGTTAAAAGGAATAAAGATAATAAACGTGGGTGGAAGGGCCTTAAGGACCTGCACTTGAGTGTTCTCCAAGAGCCTCTAGTTGACACTGAGCACGGATACTCTCTCCTGCAGGTCTTGGAGCGATCCCGTGATGTTGTGGATGAAGTGAGTGTCTCTCTAAGGCTCTGGGATACTTTTGGTGATCATCACAAAGACAGGCGTTTTGCATATGGCAGGTAAACCAAAACTAATGTAGTGTATTTGAGCTTGATTTTCTTTTCCAAATCAGCAGCCCATTGACAGATCAACAAAACCACATTGTACGGCCTTGAAATATGTTGGGTTCCACACTGTGTCTCAGAGAATAAAACCAAGAACAGTATTGTTTACTGATGTCAGAAAAAGCTGAGTGTCTGGCTGCTCAGGAGGTACATTTTTGAGAACACCCAGTGCTGGTTCAACTGGGAAGTTTGTGTAGAATCTGTGGTGCCCTCCAGCCTTGTGCTGCTGGGCTTGCTGTTTTCGTGAACGATACCTTAGTTTGCCTTCTGTTGGAATGTTTTCAGTTATCTTAGCACTTGGCCGCCCAACTCCAGAAGGTCTGTTTGTTCTTTTCATAACCATATTAGCAGAATCTGTTATTTGCTTTGGGCTTTGTGTAATCTGAAAAGTCTTATTTCTATTTGAAAGTCATTTTTTCAAAAAAAGAAAAATATCTCTGTAGACCTTCCCAAGGCATATTTCCAAAATTAACTAAAGCACTAACATTAGTCTATTGCTTATCAAAAAGAAGAAGAAGATGGCAAAAGAAGAAGAAAAAAATCCAATAAAGAAAAGACATAATTTGGGTAGGAACATAATCAAAGTGCCTTAAAATATTTAACTTCTCTTTGTCACTATAGCTTAAATTATCTCGTGGTGTTTGGCCTGCAGCTTGTGAAGTCTAGACAAGGCAGAAATTGTTTTACCACCTAATTATAAAGCACATTCATTTCAAGTTTAGAATTTAGGTATCATGGTTTAGTTGTCCTTTCTCACAGGATTGGACAAATTAGATTAATTACATACTCCATGTGAGTTATTCGTTGCCATTGGGATAAGCGCTTTCTGAAAAGTTCCTGTTTTTTCAAGCCAGGTGTTTCCTGACTAGACTTTCATTGTTGTTTCTCCAAATGCTCTTAAATGCTAAATATACTGCAGGAAAAGTTTTTATCTATCCCTGGGGAGTAGTTCCACACTGAATCTACAGTCTCAACCAGTATATTCAAGGGAACTCGGAAAGAGACAGGTAAAACACGGCTTTATATCTCCTTGATAATAAGGACTTTTGAGCTTAATATTCAGCATTACACTTTCCTCCTCCTTAACCTTCCTGGAGTTAACTTTTATTTTTATATAATGTTCTTGATTCTTACTCTTCATTGCTGTTTCAGTTTTTGGTTTTTGGTTCGGTTCAATATATGAAATAATAAGACATGAACTTACTACTAAGTGCTGTGCACTCAAATTTCTAATATCTTTGGTTTTAAGAAGACACCATTTGAAAATAAGTAAGCAAAGCCAAGACAGATGCAAAGTATTCAAAATGACATGTGGTACCCCTGCTTCTAAAAAGATGCCATACCATGAGAATGGTGGGCCTGAAGATGAGCTGACTGAGATATTTAGGTTAAGAGTCTGTCAGCTATTTCAGCACTCCAGTAGTTTCCTATCCTTAAAACTAATGCATTTAGAGCAACAAATTTTAATGTGGTGCCACAATGTGAACTGTGTTACGGTTAAGAGCAGGACTTCTTCAGTATCATCTGAATCTGGCTTAGGATTTATATAATGGCTTTGTGGCCTTCATGACTCTACCCTGGGCCTCATCCAGGATCCCTGCATGGATGGAGTAATTTTGGAAGGCACTGTGCCTGCGTTTGTCCACTCCCAGGAAAAATAAGCTGGTCTTCCTTGTGACTACATAGGTCCAAAGTTCTTTGTTCTGCCTTGTCTGGAATGTTGCGTCCCACAAACGGTAACCTGTTCCCCTTTTGATGGAAACAAGAAGTGCTCCCCAAGCCAAACTTGATTTCTCTGAGCAACACAGAGAAGTTTCCGGCAACACCCCCACGTTCCTGGCCATGTTCTCTTTGAGCCTTCTCTGTATGTGCATGTTTGTACCTTGCTATTTCCTCTGTCTTTTCCTATTCCCCACAGCCTCCTGGTATCCTGCTAATAAAGAATAAAAACTAGAGCAACTCTGTCTATAAATGCTAAATATGGAATGCCACTGTTGTTGTAAAAAAAAAACTTACATTTTTCTGGAAAAAAAGTTTTGAAAACAGTCAGTCTTTTTTATTCACTACGGAGGTTTGACCAGTGCATTTCATTACTGTGAGAAAGATGTTTCTTACCAACTTGCATTTTTAGCTTTATATCATTCATACAGGAGAAAAGGCATAATTATGATTTCTGACAAGCTGTTTGATTTTTCAGTTCTGTTTTTGATTAACATTTTTACTAGATATAAATCACAAGTCAGAGGGATGTGCACAGACATAAACACTGAGGCATGTGGAAGGTATTCTCTATACTAGGAAGAGTCTCCAAGGTATTTGGAACCTTTCTAAAATAATTTGATTCGTGTCATGACAATGAAAAAAACCAGATTCATATCAAGATTCTTCAACCCTTGTCTTCAGTTTCCTCTGCTTTTCAGCACAAGGGAAGTTAGTGAGTTGCCACTCCAGCACTCTTTGACATGGACAAACTCTGGTTTGCAAGGTAGATCTTGTGGGTCCCAGGAGTGTCACTGATGGGCAGTCTGCCAACTTAAATCTATAGCTATCCGAGCAAGATTTAACTATAAGTATAGCCAGAATGGCATTGCTGTCTGCATATCGTCATTGTTTAAAGGCAACCTGTTAGCCTTTTTTCCCATCAACTAGAATGCTGAAGACCTAAACATATGCCTTCAACATTTCAGAGACATATTGCCAATCTTAATGCACTTAGTCCCTTGAAAATCCTAAGAGGCAGATATTATTTCCTGCTATGGTTGAGCAAGGAGTTGAGCTTTTTTTCCTGGTATATCTCACCCAATAGTGGAGTCTGGAGTGCAGATTCAAACCCAAATCTGCTTAATTCCTAGCCCCCATTTTTCCCACTGTGCCAGGCTCTTATAATGTCATTTCAAATAGGATGCAACTGAAAATACCCTATAATAGTGAACTGGACTTCTGTTTATTCTTCCATGTTTGTGCAGAGGCTTAGAACAAGAAGAAATATCGAAAGGTCATATAGTGAGTTAACCCTTTCCCTTCAGGAAAGGAAATTATCAACCTAAGAAAAAACATTGACAAGAGTGCTCTGTTTGATAGATTTGAAAGGGAATGGAATAGCATCAGTGCGTATCAACACTTCACACATTTGAAGTTATCAGACCCTCTCTTCTCTCGACAGAAAAACTCCAACTCTCTTGTAGCCTTTTTTCCTACCACCTACTTCCTATCGACTTTTGGATGAACTTTTGAAGCTCTTTTCTGTATCTTCTAAAATGTCAAGAACAGAACTGTACATAGTAACCATGACCGTGATCAGCTGTTCTTTTTGGCAAGGAAAGAGAGCCTCTTCTTAAAGAAATATCACTCAAGAAGATTTCCTTGGAACTGTTACCACAATGAAGTTTTCATTCTCAGATACCTGACATTGCAAATGCAGACACATAGGATGACTCTGCCTTTAGCAGGACAGCTGGGCCCTTCAGCCCTTCTCTAGATCACAACACACATAAATCTGTTTCCTTTTTTATTTTATTTATTTGTTTTTGGAAACCATCTTTATTGATTTATCAGTTCAGGTAACTTTTAGACACTTGATGAAGCCCGTGACCATACACAACCCCAGCTGTCATTAGCAAGGATACTACGGGGCCAGGCCCATGCCAGGTGCTCTCGACAGCCTGTCCTGCTGCATTCTTTTGGTGACCCTGTAAAGTAGGCTCATTTCACAGTTGAGAAAACAGGAAGAGAAAGGACCAGGAATAGACAGCCAGGACCAAAAGGAACTGAGCTTTGTTCTGAGGTCCATCTGACTCCAAAAGCCCTATCTTCCCACTCTGCCATGCTGTCATGGCTGATAGTGATTGTTGAGAAACTTAAATTTCCTGCTGGTGCAGTCTGAATCTCCCACTCTCCCACGGGCCCCTGAAGATCTGAATCTACCACAGGTTAATCCACTGCAAAAGCAGAATTCTTTACATGGTTCCACAAGGAGCTAAACATCAGTCATTTTACCTGCAGTGAAAATGGTACAGCTAAGCAAACTTTGTGAGACAAAATTGGAATTTTGAATAATTTATCTGGTATAGCCCCTATTCCCTACCCTGCGTTTAACTAAAACATTCAAAATCACTCCATTCACCCCTGTTCCCAGTTTCTGGACGTGTTTTCAGTTTAATCAAAGACACTGATTCTCCTCAAGTGTTGTTAGTTCCTATGAAAAGCACAGCACATGCTTTACATGATGACATTAGTCAAGCTCAGGTTGTTCTGTGTCTGTTTTGACAAGATGATCCAGTTCTAGTTTCATGTTGAAAGCCCATGTAACAGACACAGCATGAACACACCCACTTTGAATTCTCATTTGAGGCCCTTTAAAAAAAATTTCAGGATTCTAAGTGACCAGTGTATGTGTCTTTGTCTGGGACTGCTCTGCTAGTAATTATAGGGAAAATAAGAAACAGTGAATTCATCTACTGCTTTGAGTTTGCTGTTATCTTCCTTAGCATGTTCTAAAAGTTGGGCCAGGAGTAATAATCTCTGCTAATTTCAGGACGAAAAGCAGGCTGTTGTACTGTGAAACAGATTACAATAAAGAGGTGGGTCAGTGCCAGGACCAGGACATGGTAAGTGAGTCACTCACTTTGGGCATAAAATATAAATACTTTTAAAAGACAGGATCCCTGTCACTGCTTCTGCCTCAGGCTCAATGAGACTGACTTTATTTAAAATATTAATATTTTGTGCAGCATAGATTTGTTTTTGTTACCTTAATCTTGACTTTTTAGAAACGATGATTCACCTGGGTTACCAAGGTTTGTATTTTGGATGTTAGTGCATTGCTCATCTTGTATCAGAGGCAGATACTCCAGTCTCTTCATTCTGTCATGCTGGGCTGTCTAAATGGCTAGCAGAGAAGCAGAATGAGAGCAGCCGTAGTGCATGCCCTTTATGGGAACAATCCAAACCACAAG